AACTTGTATGCAACATTTTATACTAAATGTTACAAATATAACATTGTAAAAACTTTCCATGTGAATCTTTAAATAATGTTTCAAATTTAAGGTTGTTGGAAATTATTATATGCAATATTTCAAATGTAACATTTCATTTATGTTAATGCAAGTAGCACAGGAAATATTTTATTTGTAAAGTCGGCGAACATTGCAGCAATATTTTGAAAGGTTTCTTTCCCAGTGGGTTAAACGAAAGGTTATTTAAATTGGTTAGTTTAAACAATAAAGAAATGTTGTTGTAGGTTTCCTTAATATCTGGAACTATACAAAGTATAATTATAATTAGAATATATTCTTTTTACTCCAGTTATTTTGCCTTTTCTTGCGACGCTCCCCCCTTCACTATAATTTCAATAGGAACTATCATTGTCCGGAAATGTTCCATGATCTTCATAAATACTCTTTGGAAAAACTGAAAGACAAACTTTGAAAAAATTTTGACCTCCATCGCAGATAACTTTAATACACATTTCTCCAACAGCGTTTCTTTTATCAACTATTTTATCGACAAGTTGGCTTGCATCCACGTAAACAACTGGTCTTGGTAATTTCCCGGAGGTGGTGGTTTCCATTTCAAAGTTGCCTATGTTGTAACAGTCCGAAAGAACCTTTGCTTTTTCTCTTTGGTGATGTCGGTAATGCGAGGGTGTAGATTTTTTGCCAGTTGAAGTTCTTATAAAAAATTTTATTTTTTCCATTTGTCGACCAGAAAATCCTTCATTTGTTTGCAAATTATCCAAGTGTTCTTCGGAAAAGAAAGGTGATGGTGTATTTTGTGTGGGGTTTAATATTACAGTATCTTTTCTACCCCCTGTTGTTAAATTTACTGACGCATTCTTGTACCTTTCGGAGAATATGGCTGATTAATGTTTTGTTGGTCTACTTTATTTTTAATAATTGACACAGCAACTTGTTCTTGTTGCTTATTAGGAACGTTAGTTTTATTTAGGATATGCATAACATTTTTACTGCTTTTGGATACTACACAACGATGAGGCAAGCCCTTTCCAAAAACTTGAAGACATGAAGACAAATGCTGAGTTTTTTACTACGATTTCTGTTGTTAATTATTCGATGTCTTCTATTTGGGTGACTTTTTGACCTAGCAGTTTGACAAATTAAGCAATTACATTCGCGAAAGCCTCTAGTTTCTTTCAGAATTAAAATATTTTCGAAATTGGGCATTTTTGGTAACTTACGGTTTAATCTACCGGTTTTTTGTTGAACCAAAGATATTCTACAGCGAGTACAAATAGAAATAGGGTACTTGCCTTCACACTCATTAAAGTTTGGATTTAAAAACTCACATATCAGTTCTTTAATTTTCATAGTTATTTGAAACTTTTTAAAATTGTCTTTGCCAAAAGTTATTTTCAAACCACAACTAACACACACTTTTTTCCTGTTTTCTTCATGACAACATTTTATTGTTGGATGAGTAGCCATTTTCACCAATAAAATTTTAATATTTTAACAAACTACGATAATTCCACTGAGAAATAATTCTTTTAGGGCAAAAACCACAGTTGCTTATAAATGTGACAGTTCAAGCGCTTTGTTTTTGTAGGCTGACATATCGCGGGATACTAGATAATTAATTAATGATGCACTACAATAAAATCATAGCATACTTTGATGCAGTAAATTATTTTTTTTAATTTAGAAATAAAAAAATATCGATATATCAAAATAATAATAATAATAGTTATTTATTGATCATCATAATTATAAAAATAACAACAATCAAAAGGCCATTGACCTAGGTCCTTCAGCCAAGGTTAATTAAAATATAAATGTAATGTATTTGCATGTGTTAGAAACCGAAATTGATATTAGATAGAGTATATCAAAATATATTTTGAAAAAAAATAGTTTCCAGTGAAAAAAATACCAAAAGGATCTGTTGCGATTTTTAGTAATAGTTATTTTTAATTAGCAATAAACCTATTATATTTTAAATTAAAATTTGAAAAAAAATTTTGGTGGACATCTTTTAAAACTTAAAAAATGCAGGGTAGCACTGTGAATAATTACAACTATGTATCCCAAATACCAGAAGAAATGGAAGGAGAAATATTATTAGAAGACATAGAACTATCAGAAGAAAGAGAAATATCAGAAGGAGAAATGTTATCAGAAGCCATAGAACTGTCAGAAAAAAAGAGAAATAAAAGAAGCAGAAATATTAGCAGGAGATATTGATGTATCAGATGAAAAAAAAAAATACCAGAAGAGGAAATATTATCAGACGACAGAATATTTTCAGAAGATAAAAAATATCACAAGAAAAAGAAATACCACTAAAAATAAACATCAACATGACTAACAATAATGACAAAAAGGGAATAACTGGAAACAAATATGGTATAAACGAACTATTACTATTAATTTTTTTTTCAAACGGTATTTATTTTTCTTGTGATAGTTTTTGGTGCACCAAAAATGGTTAAATGCGGCAGACCCAAGGGGTCAGAGTTAACGATAATTGGGTCTAAAAGAAAAATGAACTCAAATAAGACATCCAAGACATCCCGCCAAAGACATTAAAATAAATTTAAGTTTTAAGAAATTAAAATGTATTTTCCAATTATTTTTTAATAAATTACATTTTAATATTAATGCTTTTTTGTGAAAATACCATTATGAAATTATTAAAAACTCTCTAGCGCATCGCATCTATGTCCTAACCCCATATGTACGGTGCAGGAGTCCCATATCTAATGTTCCGCGCGCAAGGGGCGCGAGTCACATAACTATTGTTCCGTGCGCAAGGAGCGTCACTGCGAAGAAAATAAGTTTATTCAACACGACATTTTCCCAATGGGAAAATAATTTAATTATATTCACCAGATTTAAATTTAAAAATCAGGTATACTATAGTGAAGAGTACCACAAAAATAATAAGTTTATTAATTCTTACATATATATAAAAATTATTGGTTATGCCAAAATTAAAAAGTATAAAGTTAGATGAAAAATAATAAGTGTTTTTTAAATAAATTCCATACAAATTGAAGATGTTATAATTCCAAATGTATTTGAAATTAAACATATATGTTTTCTAACAATTAATTTAAATGTAAGCTTAATGATTAAAACATTTTTATTTATGTCTTTTAACAAAGTCCTTATTTGTAGTTTAATAAACTTATTTCCTTTACAGGTTGTTTTTATTCAAATAATTCCTTTTAGAGATAAAGTTGTGTGCCGTGAACGGCTAACAACCAGTTAGTTAAAGCTCAGTAAAATTTGACAAAGCAGGTAAACTAAACTAAAATATACACGAGAAAAAGGAAAACAAAAAGCGCGAATGAAACCAGACGTATGCGTACGAAACAGGACCGAAATGGACAAAGGAAATGCAGGCAAACCGAAAGCGGAAGAAAGCAGAGCAAATGTTTGCGGATAAAAGCAGATATTTGCGGATAAATGCAGATGTTTGCGGATAAAATCAGATGTTTGCGGATAAAAGCAGATGTTTGCGTATAAAATCAGATGTTTGCGGATAAAAGCAGATGTTTGCCTATAAAAGCAGATGTTTGCGGATAAAATCAGATGTTTGCGGATAAAATCAGATGTTTTCGGATAAAAGCAGATGTTTGCAGATTAAAATAGATGTTTGCGGATAAAAGCAGATGTTTGGAGATTAAAACAGATGTTTGCGGATAAAAGCAGATGTTTGCAAGTGAAATCGGATGAATCAGACTTTTGCGGACTAAATTAGATGTTTGCGGATTAAAACAGATGTTTGTGGATTAAAATAGATGTTCGCGGATGAAAGTAGATGTTTGCAGGTGAAATCGGATAAAGCAGAAGTTTGCGGATTAAAGTAGATGTTTGCGGATAAAATCAGATAAAACCGGGTGAATGCAGATATAAACCCAAATACAGGTATTTGCGGATGAAACCAGATGAAAGCAGACATAGAACTAAATAGATAAAACCCGAAGTTCGCGGATAATATTTATCCCCGCAATTGCAGATAAAAATCGACATGCCGGGTAAAATTAGATATGTCGGATGAAAACAGATACAAATGGACATAAAACTATAGTCGTATAGCTAAGCTTGGTTTTTTATCATCCGATATTACCCGTCTTTTTCAGCAGGGTAATTTTTTTTAAAATTTAACATAATTTATTCTCAGGTAAAATACTACCTACCTAATTTTTATATTCAATTTGCTGAAATTACCTTGTAATTTTGGGTTGTTAAAAAATAATTAAAAATAACGAATTTGGCCGGATATTTATAGGTCGACAGTTAAAAAACTAGTAAAAGTTTGCTCTTTTCATAAATGATAACAGGGCTGCTAAAAAGATCCGTTATGAATACTTTAAAACGGCAACACTGTGGACAACGAATGCTCATCGCGCGACAATTGTAGACAGCTGACATAACCTCCATCGCCACGTCGCTGGGTGCTTTGCGCAAGCTTATGTTCTGCGATCTGCGACCTGCGACAATTGTAGACCCGGCTTAAAGGAGCTTACAAAATAAAAATTATGAAAGCACAATAGTACAGTCATCTTAGTCAAAAAAAGGGATCAACCTCGGAGTCTAACGGAATAAGCTGAATTTTTGTGACAACCTTTATTTTAGCAATATCAATGTTGTCTCAAAAGTCACATATGCCAATGTGTGAGCGGCCTTAGATATTCAAGGTCAAAGGTCGCAAAAATCAGTTTTTTGAGAATATCTCGTTTTATCTGCCTCCTATCGTATTTGCATTTATTATAAAAGTTGTAGAGAATGAAATTCTCTACAAATTTTGTTTACAATATTTTTTTAAACATTATTAAAAAAATTTAATACCTTATACTTATATTTATATTTCTTTTAAAACAAATATATTTTATCTTCATATACATATACATATATCTTATATTTTAATTTAATTTTAATGATCGGAGTAGGAAAAAATGTTTTTATTTATATCAATATTATTATTATTATTATTAATCTTTATCTTCTTCATCCTCGTCTTCTTCAGGTTGGCCAGCAATTTCAGACTCATTCTCATCATCACTCTCCTCGTTATCATGATGTCAATGCATTTACATTAATTGTCATATCTTCAAAAACTTACTTATAACACGTTTGTACTTTGCAGATTTTTTTGCCTTTGTTGCCTCATCTGCGACTTCACCACAAAATAAGCACAATATTTTAAAATCAACCCCATCATTCCCTTTTTTACGAGGTACAGTTGATGACGTTGAAGGTCCAGTCTCTTCAAGGCGACGTTTTGCTGCTGCAATTTTACTATAGTACGCTATAGCGTACAATTTTCGACAATATGAGCGTTCACAGAAGTCAAAGTATTTAGGTAGTTTATGTTTATTTCTCTCAATAATTGCTTCTTTTAAAGTCTTTATACCGCGCACAAAAGTCACAGAATCACCTTCAGAAAGTAACTTATTACAAATAAAACACAAATCAACCATGTTAACCTTTAAAATATTACGAATATTACCTGTCACAACCCTAGACCTACACCTAGGGTCACAACTTGCTTTAAATATAGGTATACCTAACCTTTTTATTTATAGCAAGCCCACTATAGTATTTCCAGGTCTGTTATTTTAAAAGCAATATCTGGATCCAAGAGATGACCAGATACATATTCAGGGCAAATTCATTTAATGTCTTTTCTTCTTAAAATGCATTTATCATTAATTAGAATAACATTAGAATATATTTAGAATGATTCACTTCATTATTTAATTATTTGTATGTCAAAAGTAAGTAATATTTAATGACCATTTGTTTTAAAAAAATATATATAAAAATAAATATAAGGTATTAAAGTGTTATTTAAGTAATATTTAATAAATAATTAATTAAAAAAACGGTATAATAGATTGGGATTCATGATTTACCTTGCGCTAAAGGTACGTATGGCTGAGCGCTCTACACTCTGCGCCCTTTATCTCAAAAACGATTAGACGTATAAAAAAATGTTTTAAACAAAATTTGTAGAGAATTTTATTCTCTACAACTTGTATAATAAATGCAAATACGATAGGAGGCAGAGAAAAGGAGATATTCTCAAAAAAATTATTTTTGCGATATATCTAAGGCCGCTCACACGTTGGCATATGTGACTTTTGAGACAACATTTGCAATGCTAAAATAAAGGTTTGTACAAAAATTCAGCTTATTCCGTTAGATTCCGAGGTGAAATGCCTAGATGACTGGACTACAAACAGTTTATTACAGTAATAATAATGTAATAATAATTTTTTTTCAAAAATCAATAATTAATTTATTAATCACAAAACTACAACAGAAAATGGTTACTATGACAAGTCAAAAAAATAAATTAAAAGTATACTAAACATAAATTGGCTACAATAGAACGATGAAAAAGATTATTTAATTTTAAAAAATTATTGAATAAAAAATGCTTTTTTACCTAGTAAAATTTAAAGAAAAATAACATGATCATATTTTAATACCTCGAGCAGTGGCGGCTGGTGGATTTTATGTATACCAATATCTCAGTTATTAGACATGGGACCCACACCAAATTTATAATAGTTTATAATGACATTAAATAAACAAATTCGGCGCAAACAGAATTTAAATTGAAGTTTGCGAAAAAAAGTTAGTTTTTCCTGTCGCCTCACCCGCGTCCAGAGATAATTCAAATTAAAGTGGTGCAATTTATTATCTACTATAATTTATCGAAAAATTTTAAATTTTATTTAAAAAATCCAAATATTACAGATTTTATTCGATTTTAAATTTTTATTATTTATTTTATTAAAATAAAAAAATATTTAAAATGGTACCAGGTACCAGGTACCAGGTTTTATACGTATAAAACCTATAATATTTGGATTTTTTAAATAAAATTTTAAATTTGTCCATAAATTATAGTAGATAATACATTGCACCACTTTAATTTGAATTATCTTAAATAGGGGGGCCTGGAGGCGGGTGAGGCGACAGGAAAAACTAACTTTTTTTCGCAAAGTTCAATTTAAATTCTGTTTGCGCCGAACTTGTCTATATAATGTCATTAAAAACTATTATAAATTTGGTGTGGGTCCCATGTCTAATAACTGAAATATTGGTATACCCAAAATCCACCAGCCGCCACTGACCTCGAGGTATTAAATCTTCTCATTTTTACCTTGCTAAATATTTTTTTTACCTCTTCGTAATTTAATCCCGAACTTTTATTTTGGTAAAAATATCTACCTTCATAATTTAGGTATACCTTCCTGACTTTAAAAGTTACAAGTGAAGTGCTGAAGTGTTTCTTTAAACAAAGTTACAAGTGAAGTGCTGATGTGTTATTGTGATAAGTATTGTGTTATGTTTGTTAATAACACAGGCACACAAAAAAAAGTGGTCGGTCCGGCGGATCTGAGTAATATGACTATATGCATTGACCCTCGATGAATCCGAATCTGCTGTCGGATTTAGCCGATTGGCTCGTTTTTTCTAACCTCAAAAACCGTAAAATTTGTAAAAAATTGATTTTACCTCAAAAAAATTAAGTAATCTTGCAAATAAAATAAAACTGGTTCCCTTCGAACAAATTTACCTTCAAAGAAAATTCAGGTTAGAAAAAAAACGAACCAATCGGCTAAATCCGACAGCAGATTCTGATTCAGCGAGGGTCATATGTATATATAGTCTTACTACTCAGATCCGCCGGACCGGCCAATTTTTTTTGTGTGCCTTTATAATTATTAGTGTTATATTATTTTATTGTGGTAAGTTGAATTAATATTACTTTTTTTTATTTTGGCTATTTGCAATATGTCTGTGACAGATAATAATTCAGTTTTCAAGCATCCATGCACAAGAGACATTATTGTTATAACCTTTGAATGCTGGGAAGAGTTCCCTGACGATAGCATGAAGGTTTTTTGCAAGATTTGCAAAGAAACAATTTAAGCTGTGAGTAGGTATCAAACGAGCAAATATTCACGTCACCATAAAAAAAGTTAAATCGTGAGGAAAAATTGCCCCAAAAATATTATTATTATTTTTTTTTATCAGCGACAGACAGAAAATTGTTTGGCATTTAAAATTGCTTATTTTTCATATTTTGAATAATATAATTTATAAAGAATTTTAATTTCAAACGGAGAAGCGATTTTATTCCACTATGAGAGTGGGTGATACGTAACATTAACAGTTGTATTAATTCTAGAATACAATCTAAAATTCTGTTTTTTTGCAGACATATACTTAAAATGTGAGCGCTTCTAATAGCAATTCAGAAATTTTAAAAATTTCTAAAGATTTTGAAAAATAAATTTTGCAATATAGAATTACCAAAGTCGTGCATCAAAAACTTTACTCTGCGCCGAGCTATGTAAATTATTGAAAATTTCTATACATATACTGTAACGTTTTTACTGTTCGTAGTGTGAATTAAAACACGCACTGGTTAATTAACGAACTAAACTATTTATTTTATTACTTATTACACTTAAAACACTAAGAAAACTAACTAAACACTTAACTAATTATTTATACAGTGCTTGCAAATCCAAGTCCGACCGCGTTGGGAAGGATGGTTGTTCAATACCCGCGTGAAAAGAATAAGGATAGAATGCCAAACAGAATTTGATTGGTCAGAGCGTCAGGCGTGCGTATTGTAAGCGCCTTCTGTTTGGCGTTCTACCCTTGTTATTTTCACGCGTCCTTCCCAAACCGGTCGGACTTGGATTTGCAAGCACTGTATATCACTACTGTATAAGAGTATATTTATTTGCACGAGTACCAAAGCTCAACTGACTGCTCCATGCAGCGCCTTCCTTATATATTCAGTGCCTACGTTCCCGAATATTCCAGCGAGCTCCACACAGCTCTAGATCGCTCGAGCGCTGAGTCACCGGCGATGACTCATGAGTCATTATTCCGAGATCCAGAGCCGTACTCGCTACATTGCCCCCCGTCTTAAAACATTTTCATTCCGAAAATGGTCCTCAGCTCCATGGCGATATTTGCATAGAGATCCAAACTTGCATTGTGACGTCCTATAGAAGTAGCAGTCTACGGTCTTTCTTCCGGTTGTTCTTTTAGGGTTGTGGCAACAGACAAGAATGTGTATCCCAAGCAACACAGAATGGTATATTAAACGTTTAAAACGATCTACTACCATCCGTCACTTCGTCGTATATGTGAAACGTATTATAAACTGCAGAATGTCCGCGACTTCAACGTATATATACAGATTTCTATATTCATTTCATTAACGTATTTACATATATGATTTTTTTTATAAAATGGTAAACGTATATTAGCAGTTTACATTTACAGGTTTTACACGTATTCCAAATACGTTTATTAAATGTTATGTATTATATAAATTTATACGTATACCAAATACGTGTATTAAATGTTATTTTTCCTTATTCATTTATACGTATAATGAAAGGGTTATTTTACTTTTTCGTAACCTTTTAGACAAAAAAAAAAGAAGGTAAATTCTCACTTAATTTTATTCGAAAAATACATTTTCGTCTTAAAATTAAGTGAGAATTCACCTTCTTCTTTTTGTCAGAGAGGTTAGGAAACACCCTGTATAAACTATAAAAAGTATTAGTCCTTAAGTGACCTAAAATAATTAAAAAGTTTGTTCTTACTGCACGGTACTGAAATAATAACTCGTATACAAAAAACAAAACATATATTCTTTAAATAAACAAATTTGTTGCACAAATGTGACAAGGAAACAAAGTTATAACTTATAATAAAAATAACGTATATACGTAGATATCTACGGGTTTTACATTTTTTCTCTGTTATGCGGATGCCGGTGTTTGCTTAATTTCAGCCAGTCTTTTATCGCTTGGGATATTACAGAATCGTTCAAATCAAGAGGTTCTCTTCCTGAATATGAAAATTTTACAGCTTCTAAAAAATGGAAAAAGAATATAAATAATTAGTAGGTAGTACTTGCCATTAATAACTCCAGCTATTGTTGTTATACTAAATGGACATAATTATGAATAATTAATGTTAATTACGATAAATTAATTAAGAAATACCTACCACCTAGAAAGATAGGTACCTATATGAATTAACAAAAAAAAACAGAAGAAAATTTTAGAAATAACTCCAGAATATTAAAAATAAAAAATTGAAAAAGGAAAAAATTAAAAAATATAAAAATATTTTTATTGCGACAATTTTTTTAATTACATATTTTAATATGTATAAAGAATACTTTCTTTTGTATACAAAAGAAAGTATACTTTATACATATTACATAGTATATATACTTTTTTTTGTTAAAAATTTAAAATTAATAAGACAATTAATTATTTAAAAGTTTATTACAAAGACGTTTAAAAAAATATTTTTCTAAATTTACCTTACGAACAAATATTAGTTTACATTGTAAACTTATATTGGTTTTAATTTAATTTTGAAATGGGGTAAATATTTAAAACATAAAAAGATTGTAAATTTTAGAACAATAAAAATTATATGGTAAAAAAATAATAATTATAATTATAATTATCATTGTTTATTTACTACTTATATCATATTTTTATTGTTTTAAAATTTAAATATTATAATTATTTTTAATATTCTAAAACTTAATATTTTTTTATTTTAAAAATATATAAATAAAAAAGATAAAAGTTTAATGGTCTGGCACTTTAAAATATAATTAATTAAAAAAAAAAAGAAAAAAAGTTTTTATATTTTCCGGCACCCAAATTTTTCGGAAATTTTGAATCTCTAGTATAGAAAACTAAAATTTCCTGCATACGGTCACCCTTTTTAACAGGCAGTATGTAAACGGTATACAGTATACAGTATATATACGTATACGAAACCTTTACTTGACACTAAAAAATCGTTTAATTTATTTGACTTGCCAAATTTTAACATATAAAGATAAAAGTACCTACATGAATGCATTCATGTAAAGTTAAACAAAAGCTTCTAAAAGATAAATTAAAAACTTACCCTCAACTCCTTTTCCAAAAGATAAAAAGAACTAACCCTTAAATTTGTTATCCACGTGTAGTAAGATACTTGCCTTTTTTTTTCTTCTGTAATCGAATAAAACCATGTATAAAAACAACAATTGAATACAGCAAATCTTTTTTAAAGTATTTAGGCACACTTACCTAGGTAATTATAATTACTTTGCAATGCCTGGAGCCCGGCGTTTTCACTTCACAACAGGCTTTTCTTACAAAATGACGCCACGGGCGGAACCTGTAGCTGTTTGGGTTAAGACGCGACATCATTGGGTAAATTTAATCATGTGACTAAATTTTGCAGTGTTCAATATAGGTTTTGTACACGTATACTGTATACGGTATACAGTATACCGTTTATATACCAGATTGTGTAGTGTGGAAAATAGGTATACTTTATCCCTATTAAAAATGCCATATAGAAACACAAAATAAAAATCTATCTGGTTCAATATAGGAATTTGAAACAGGCATTGCACTATTGAACCAGATAGAATTCCATACCTGGAAAACCATATAGAAAAGTGATTTCTATATGGATTGCCATATAGGTTCATATTTCTCTATCTGGCCCAATATGGTTTGGGTATGAAAAAATTATTACCATATAGATCCATATCTAACCATATAGGGGAATCTATATGGTTTAATATGCAATTTTCGTTTAAATTTATATACATTTTAAAATGGATTTCCATATTCAACCATATAGGGAAACCTATATGGAAAGACACATATAACAGAAACCAGATAAATCCATATAAAAATCCCTAAGTTGTACATTTTAAAATGAAATTCCATATTAAACCATATAGATTTCAAAGTGTAAACCAGGTCGTTCCATATAGGACATATAGAACCATATAAACCCATATTAGTTTCCTTATCTGGATCAATATGGGTTCTATAGGGCATTTTTAATAGGGATACCATTTAAGTACAAAATTTAAACACGTGTTATATACGTTTTTAAAATTTAGTTTTTTTTAATAATTTCTTAATTACAGCTCAAATTTATCCGATATTCACAAAACAAGTTTCATCATACTTTTCGAGTCAGAACCATTAAAAAATTAGGCTTTTATTTGACTTCGTGTCAAAAATGGAATATTATATACATATAATATATGTTTCTTATATACGTTAAAAAAGTAATATATTTTTTGCTATAATATACGTATATGTTACGATAAATTCATCATTTAACTGAAGTTAAAGTCCTATAATATCCGTATATTATACGTTTCATATAAAAAAGTAATATGAAAAACGTATATTATTTATACCTTTGAAATGTTATACGGTTTTTATACGAACAATACGTTTAATAAACGTATATACTACAGAGCCGTGTTGCTTGGGATGCCACTAAATCTGAAAATAACTTCCACCATGCTTCTAATTATTCTCCAGTCCAAACCGTCAAGTCCACAAGCAATCTTCGGTATCGCCAGGTTCATGATGTCCTTGGACAAAAGGGTATCCCTTAATTTATTTAAGGCATTTCATACGTCACGGTAGTTTGGCTTCTGATAGGAGAGCTGCTTCGTTACCAGATAGAAGATACTTCCGCTATTCCCCTGGACATCCTAAGGTCTTCCGCAACACAGTGAGCCAAGGAGTAATCGGCCGAAACCGTGAACAGATCTTTTTGTTCTTCTTGAGTGACACCATAGCGAGCTTTTTTACCGCTCGAATATAAATACATGAAGTCTTCAAAAGGCAAGTCGTCTTCCGAATGTTAAGAATCTTACAGACATTCTGAAACAATATAGATTCAAATCCCTGCCTTGGTCTGAATGCATCTCCATTGGCACACCAAAACGACAAATCCACTCCTTAATAAGGGCATCGGCCACTGTGGCAGCTTCCTAGTTTGGCAAGGCGTACGCTTCCGCCCACTTGCTAAAGTAGTCCATTACAACGATGATGTATTTATTTCCAGATTTTGTTTCCGGAAATGAACCCGCCACGTCGATTGCAATTCTCTCAAATGGGCTGCCCACATTGTACTGTCGCATTGGGGCTTTTGGGCGCTTCTGGGGTCCATTGCTTGCCGCGCAAACGGCGCACTTCTTGCACTATTCCTTCACATCTCGTTGGCTATTGACCCAATAAAACCGTTCCCTAAGTCTTCCGAGCGTTCTGGTCACCCCAAGATGTCCTCCAGTAGTTCCATCATGGCTTTCCTGCAGCACTTCTGGTATCCTGTTTCTGGGGATTATTTTCTGCTTCCGGTCTTCCCCCCCTTCTGGCATCTCCAGGACGCGCTTTAGAAGCCCGTCACTTAAGATGATGGAATTCCATTGAGTACGATTTCACATTCGGCGAATATTGGGCGACTTCCTGCCACGTTGGTTTACGGTCGTTCTTCATCCAATCGATGATAAGCTTCAAATCCGGGTCCCTTTCCTGGTCTTGTTGAACCTCAGCGGATTGCCAATGATCATCCACGATTGTATTCCTGCGAACAAATACATCCTTTTCTTTGGCCCTGAGACAATGTTTACAGTCTTCCGGGGACGGTCTTCTTGACAAGGCGTCAGCATGTCTATGGATGGTCCCAGCCCGATGTCATCTTGCTACCTGTCCTTCAGGATTCTTGAATTGCAAAAGCCATTTTAGGGCAGCATGATCCGTTCTTAGCAAGAATTTTATTTCATACAGATACTTGTAAAAGTGTTCGACTGATTTTACCACTGCCAACAGCTCGCGTCGAGTAACACAGTAATTTCGCTCTGGTTTCGAAAGAGTTTTACTGAAGTATCCAATAACTTTCTCTTTTCCTTCTTGAATTTGCGACAAAGCAGCTCCCAGGCCCAGGCTGGTCAACGCGTTTTTCAGGTTTTTAAAGGCTTCTTGGCATTCGTCGTCCCATTGGAATCGTCTTTCCCCCTCTGTTAAACGTGTCAAAG